TTTCAAAAGTTGGACTCTGGTTTACAGTATGATGAAATGCAATCAGATTAAGCTCTTTTAAAAATTTTCTTGATATCGTTCCTTTTCTTAAACTTTCTCTAACTTCATTGGCCATATTGATCTTGAATATCAAATCAAATATATGCAGAAGACAGATGAGAGAAAGAAATCACCAAAACCATAAAAATTTACAAGTGAATAATCAGATATCCAAAAGAATTGCTATGTAACAATCCGGTTGATTTTAGGATGGGATATGTGCGGTAGAGGGTAGTTGAGGCATCAAATGAATATTTTTGTGTATGGATCGTATCCCACAAGGATGATAAACAGAAAAGTAGCACACACACAAAGCAGGTCCCCAAAGAAATATGGTTTATAAATAAATATCTAACTAATATAAGTAGAAGGACGGTAAATGGCTTACAAGAAAAAACTAAAATATAGGTAAAGTAGAACAGCGACATATTGATATGTTAGTGTGGGTTTGCAAAACATACTACAGAGAAATAATATCATCTAGGACAATATTTTCCACTGCATATCCTATGACCTTTTCTCAGAAAGAATTCCACAATTTATATTCTAATGTCTCACTTCCCAAAAAAAATGATGTACAACTTCCAGATCAAATGATAATGTTTCAAAGGATTAATAAATCACAAACACAAGTAATTCCTCCGGAAATGTAAATATTTGCAAAGGAAATCGCATTATAGCACTACAGTACATACTTCGAATTTTCTTCCTGTGACGACAACCCCTTTGCTTCAGATGTTTGTGAACCAGGCTGTCAGAAAACGTAAGAAGTGCGAAAAAATGCAATGTCCAAAGAAGTGCAACAAAGGAACATGATGTTGAACACCTATCCACCTTGTAGAGGATAATTGCTTTTTCCTCATTTGAAACAGCTGTAGATTCGTTGCCTGCCAAAATGAATTCTGTATTAATAGTTTGAGTTATCATTTACCATCAGTCAACAAAAGGGAGCAAGACTAATCAGCAAAAAGGAAGGAAGAAGAACAGCTAATGAGTAACACAGAATGTCAATTTCCAACAATGGTATCCCTCCTCATGAACCTACAACATTTAGCTTCTAGATCTAAATTAATACCAAAAAACAGCAAGAATGAAGTAGAAACCTAACATGTTAAGTAAACATTTTTCCATATCAAGAACATGCATTTGAAGGAGGAATAAGTATACTGTATACCAATGCAAATAGTCCCTTTTTGTACATATAACATCCAAATATACAAATGGAATGTAGGTTGTACCTTCAAAGCTTCCCAAAGGTTTTCCTTGATGGTATTCCACCTGTCAATGTCAAGAAAACATTAAAGGAAAAAAACCCCATTAAAATGGTGTTTTGACAAGTATAGAACAATAATTCTAGTGGATAGTAATTACAGTGCTGTGCCCAATGTCATTGCTGCTTTGTATGGCAATTGCCTCCTCAATCTGTATGGTCTGCGTTTCTATGGCAATTATAGTAATTACAGTGCTGGTCTGCTCATGAACATAAATAAAAGAGAAGCTTATATTGAGCCCCATCGAGAAATAGTCCCTGATATCCTCCTGGAAATGCTATATAACTGCATACTCTCAAGTGGGTGTATATCAAGGAAAATGCTTCTAATGTACCTTGTTTGTAATATCTTACAAGTCTTCTCACCAATAATCTCCACACGAACATTCTCCATCCTTAAAATGGTGATATCGGCTATTATCTCGTACAATTATCTCTCTACCTAGTATCTTGGATATGAATTTTGTAGCGGTATGGCAGTCCGTGCATACTCTAAGATTCTTTACGACACGAATTGTTGTTCCATCAGGAGTATTAATGATGCCAAATCCGATTGCAAGACGTTCACTATGAGCAGACAATACATATCTTTTCTGTTCCTCGTCAACATCATGTAGCACCTCATTCGTATCTGGAACATACCCTTCCTGTTCCATCCGTTCCAAAAGTTTTTGCAGAGCCTCGTTTATCCGCCCATAATCTGGATGGTTTTCATCTCCTGCCACAAAAGCATGTATCTTGTTTTTAACTTCTATCCAGCTGCAAGCTGGCTTCTTTTTCATCCCTTTCTTTCCCATGGAAATTCTGATCTTTGCAGCATTTTTCCACCTCCCAGCAGCAACATAAACATTGGACAAGAGAATATAAGCACTCATATATTCAGGATCAATCTTAAATATTTCATTGGCAATTTTTTCAGCCAGTTCAACATTCTTGTGAACTCGGCAAGCAGACAGCAATGTGGACCAAATACTTCCTGTTGGTTTAATATGCAGGCTAGAGATAAACTTGTAAGCTTCATCTAATCTACCTGCTCGACCGAGAACATCTGAGACAGCAGCATAGTGTTCTAGACCCGGAGTAATAGCATAATTCCGAGTCATACTTCTTAAATATTTCCAAGCTTCATCAACCAATCCAGCATGGCTACATGCCGTCAAAACAGCCACAAAGGATACAGAATTGGGCTTCACTCCCTCCATCTCCATCTTCGTGAATAACAAGATGGCTTCATGGGCATGGCCATGCAATGCATATCCCATGATCATGGCCGTCCATGAAATTGCATCTTGAGTCTCCATGTTATCAAATATCCACCGAGCAATCCTTATGTTACCACACTTTGCATACATGTCCATCAGGGAGCTAGCTACATACTTGTTATCATCAAAACCCAGCCTCATGATACATCCGTGGAGCTGCTTACCTAAATGTAGTGTCGTCAAATGAGCACAAGCTGGCATTATGCTCGAAAATGACACACCCACAGGCTCAATACCAGACATTAACATCTCCCTAAACCATTTCAGCCCTGCATCAAACCTGCCATTCTGCACACAAGCTGCTATTATTGAGTTCCACAAAACACTATCCTTTCGAGGTGACAAATTGAAAACCTTGTATGAATCTTCCACCTGGGTACAATTTGCATACATATCAATCAAACTACTTCCAATGTAAACATCTTCTTCAAACCCGTGCCTGGTGACATACCCATGAATCTCCTTTCCCTTCATCACATCTACATACTCTGAAAAGATAGGAAGAATCGTAGATAAAGTGAAAGAATCAGGATTCAAATTCGCATTCCCCATCTCCCTGACTGTAATCAGAGCTTCCTCATACATCCCATTTTGCACTTGCCCTCCAATAACTGTATTCCATGAGACACCATCTGTAACTATCATCATTTCAAAAACTTTTCTCACACTATCCAGGCAGCATAAAGCTTCATTCTTTCTTTTCTTCAAATTATCAACGACTTCCATCCCCCCACCACTAGGATCCGACTGAGTCTTCACATTATTATTCAAATAAGCATTTTGGTTAACACTTGCAATTTGTTTTCTAATGTATTGACTTAATTCAACACTTGCAACTATAGTAGTGAATGCATAAAAGGGGGTTTCCCCTCCTTGAAATTTGATAATTTGAGCATGCAGTTGCTTGGCTTGAGAGCCTGTTTTGATGGCTATGGGGCTTCTCAAAAGGGTTTTGAGGGTTTGAGTTGGATAGTTCATGGGTTTTTTATAAGTGGTTCTGAATTGAAGCCTGCACAGAATCTTGAATAAGCATGTGTCCGTCGCAGTACTACAAACTGTTTGTGAAAATGCCTAGCTGAGATTATTTCCAGTGTGCCTCAATATTTACTACCTTCTGGCAATTCGGGAACAGGGTTCGTGGCATTTGATTCCGCAAAACCACGAGGCTTTTAGATGTGGAAAAAATAATTTCCAGTGTGCCTCAATATTTACTGACTTCTGGCAATTCGGGAACAGGGTTCGTGGCATTTGATTCCGCAAAACCACGAGGCTTTTAGATGTGGAAAAAATATACCAAGCTGTTTGGCTTAGCTTAAAAGCGGTCTGGCCACACCTAGCAAGTTAATCCTCAAGAAAATGTACACAATACCTTTTTGGCATACCGTGCTTTGGAAGACAACACGCAACCCAGTCAAGAAAATGTGTCATAATGCAAATTCAATGACAATATTCCCGTTGCATCTTTCTGCTAGTTTTGCCCTCATATTCTAATTGTAAATGTACACAATACCTTTTTGGCATACCGTGCTTTGGCACTTCCTTCCTGTAGCTTTGGATGGAAATGATTTTGCGTCATGGTTTATTCGTTTTCACCAATATCGCATAAATCTTAAACCCGTGTTTCCCTTACGGTACACAAGTGAGAGCCTAGAACCCTTGAACTATGCATCTTCCAACCTTCAGGCGCCCAGTTCGCGGTGCGTAAGACCACAAAATGGAACCAGTCAGAGCACAAAGTCTGCATCGACACATACAAACTTGTCATAGCTGAAGGCCACCGACGAAGCAAATGCTTTTCCTCGAAAGGATGGCATCGTATAACAGACATGTTCAACGGCTCAGCGGGAAAGGACTGGACTACATCATTGATGAAGAACTATTGGAATAAACTGCGAACGGAACACAAACACATGTTTGAGTTGTCGTGATGCACTAAAATTGAGTACCGCTCGGGTACCAAAAGAATTTAGGCCCCGGATCATTGGTGGGAAGCAAAAATTAAGGAACTGAATTCTTTCGTGTCTGTTTTAGCCAAAACATTCCTGAACTAAAGTAAATCAAAAAATGCAAACGGGACTCGATCCAATTAGTAAGCTAGTGATAATTTTCACATCTTCAGCTCTTGCTTTTCAAGATGCTAATTGTGGCTGGTGATTATGTTGGTTGTGTTGGTATTGGTTGTCTTCATAATTGAACATGATGAATGGCATAAAAATGTATCTTACAATTATTTGATATGGTTAGAATGTGAATACCAGTTCAACCACAATATTATTTCATGAAGGTTCTCATAGTGCTTAGAATGTCTAAGGTTCAATTCCGCATTGGATGATTTGGTGAATTATGGGAAACTGCCTAGCGCATTGTTAAATTAAGGATTACCGAGCGCATTGTTATATTTTCATGCTTCATTGCTATTTTATGACGATGAATGTATAGTTTGCATGTATAGTTTGCTTGCCTTTCCATTCATCCTTCATCCCCAGAAAATACTAGTGTGATACACGTTATTGCAGAATGTGAGTACTTCTTTTGCAGTCGAATGTAATTTGTCATCTATGCAGGAGAACCCAAAGTACACGAAGTACAAGAACTTCAACTGCAGTGAGATCTATGACACATATGGCAAATTGTTCGGGGACACCGACAACTCGACCAAGTATGCGCTGGCCCCAACTAAGCTGTCGCAACGTGGTTTTGACTTGGGCACAGATAGCGAAAGAGAGTACGGAGGCGACAAGTTCCCCATTAACGCGGAGGAAACGGATTCCAATGGCAGCCCAGAAACAAATAAATATAAGGAGATTAGGAACCAAAAAAACTTTAGTCGTTTTAGAACTAATTCATACGAAAATCTGTGGGTCATTCTCTTCGACTTCTTAGAATGGTCAACAGTCATTTATTATGTTCATAGACGAATTTTTTCTAAATATGGCTACCTATATTTCATCTATGAGAAATCCCAAACTCTGGACATGTTCAAGGCATACAAGACCGAGTTCGAAAATCGACTCAGTAAAAGGCTTTAACAAGTTAAATCTTACCATAGTGGTAAATACTATGAACGATATGACGAATCAGGAGAACAATGTCCAGAGCCTTTTGCAATATTCCTAGAGGAATGTGGAATTTACCCACAGTACATAAGGATCCTCCTAGGTATAAGTACTAAAGATTGCAGCTTAAATTCTCAATAAAGTTCCAAGTAAGGTAATTGTCAAGGGGTTACAAATTTTTAANGGGGAGATAAGGTTATAAGGTTAAGGATTTTGTTTTAGAGGAAGAATATGTATATATTTCTTCTATTGCAATTGACAATGATCGGACAAGTTACAAATTTTTCTTCTAGATCTTGTTAAAAAAGCAATTTCGGATCAAGACAATATTATAAAAACCCTATACACAATCATAAGATTGTTTCAGAAGAACAAACTCAACAACCTCAAAAACAAATGGTATTAAGGAAATCCACTATAAAAATGAGAAAGGCAATTTCAGATGATTTTATAGCCTTTTTTCAAGAAAATAAGGATGGCATGACTTGGTTGAAGATCCGATCAAGCAACTTTCATCAAGCCATGCAAATGAATAATTTTCAAGAGTGGGTTGATGATATGTATAAAGAGATAAAGTCCATAAAAGATGATGACGTTTGGGAACTCACCTCATCGCCTAAAAGTGCGAAGTCCATTGGTTATAAATAGATATTTAAAATTAAGAGAGATTCGAATGGTGATGTGGAGAAATATAAGACTCGTTTTGTAGAAAATGACTTTACTCAAAAGGAAGGTTGACTTTAAAGAGACTTTCTTTCCGATTTCCACGAAAGACTCTTTCAGGATTATTATGGCATTTGTGACACATTTTGATCTTAAGGTACGTCAGATGGTTTACGAATAAAAAAAAAATCATCTATGGGTTCAAGTAGGTTTATCGTCAATGATATCACAAATTTCATTAAATAATCATCTCTTTTGTTTTGAGATGAATGTGGTTGATGATTTGTACACCACATGTTCAGTGGGAGTAAGTATATTTTCCTGGTATTATGTGTCGATGACATACTGCTTGCCTGCAATGATATATGTTTATTGCATAAAACCAAGAGATTTCTATCAAAAACATATGAGATGAAAGATTTTGGTGATGCTTCTTTTGAGTCAGGGATACAAATACATTGGGATCGTTAGGGTACTTTTAAATTATCATAAAAGAGCTATATCGATAAAAATTTTAAAAGATTTGGGAAGCAAGAATGTAAATCAGATGATACTCCTATTACTAAGGGAGACAACTTTATTCTCAATCAATACCCTAAGGATAAACTTAAAGAGAAGGAAAATATAGAAAATTCACTATGCTTACGCGGTTGGGAGTTAAATGTATGCTAAGATTTGTACACATCCGGATATAGCATTTATTATTGGAATGCTATGTAGATATTTAAGTAACTTTGGGATGGATATTTGGAAAGCTGCCAATTAGGTTATTCGATATCTATAGAGAACTAAGGATTATATGATCACACATAGAAAATCAAACCAATTGGAGATCATTAGATATTTTGATTTTGATCATGGAATGTGATTGTAAAATATGTCACTAAGGTACATATTTTGGATGAAATTGAAAGACCACTTAAGTTATTCCGTGACAATAGTATTCTTGTATTCCAATAGGATATTTTGACGATATGTTGATGGAGGATGTGCTCAGGATCACTAGTTTAGGACCTAATAGGGGTAGAGATATAATTTATGGCTTCGGCATTCCATTCACTTTCTATATTGAGATATTGATGTTGGGCTAACAACTTGTTTTCTTATCTTTACAGTTTCGACTCTCAATGATTCTAACATTTACGCAGTTTATGTTAAGAATTCAAGTGGGGTAAGGTGTGCCGAGACAGGGGCGGAGCCCAATAAGGACCAATTTAGGCATAGGCAACTTTGGGCCCAACCCAAACCTCTTTCTTCTCGAGAATCCTATTTTTGACCACAAAGCAATACCGAGCGTGAAATTGATGTCCAATTTTCAGAAATTTATTGGTCAGTTTTCTCTAAAATTACTGAATTTCTTGTTATATAGAGTGATTAATTGAATTTTGAAATATTTTGTTTTAGAATTCTAGTTTAGAACTGTATGTGAATGTCGTAATTCAATTATTGCTGCGTTTTTAATTTTTTGTGGAAATGGAAATGGAAATGGGTCGTTATGTTGGACAGAAATAAACAAAGATCTCAAAAATAATTTCATCAAATTCTTCAAATTATAGAATTTTAAATCGGGATATATAATTTTCTCTTTGTGTGTTTTTGTGGGCTTTTGCATTTCTGTGAGATTATGGAGTCAACTCATCTTAAATATGCTCTGTTTCAACGGACTTCGACAAGAACCAGGTACAATCTGTGAATCTCCATTCCCATTGCATACATATAATTTAATTTGAATTTGAATTTGATATTATTATTCATTAATAACTTTGGCAAAAAATATGTGTAATCTTGGGACCTCAGGGATGACAATCCTGAGGATTTCAAAGAAGTGCTCAACTCCTTTTTGATCCCCTGCAATGATGAATAATATCGACACATTGATCCTCTAGAGACTATTCGGGCCATCCACTCCTTGCTCACAAAGGTAAGCTTAAGGTATGGAACACTTTGTTTAGATCAAACTTCTTACTTGAGCTAACAAAATGCTTTTTTCACAGCTCTTCAACGTGTCTCAAGGGGTGCAACTTAGGTTTTTCGACTAGGACGCTTGGGCTTTAGAGCTCGAGGTATCCTTGGCCACTACACAACGACTCCAAGAAGTGGCTAGGAAGAAGGCCATCTTTGAGGAAGAGAGAGATTAGGCAACCGTTGACTTGGAGATGACTAGATGCCTAGGCCTAAGGTTGAGCAGCTTAAGTTGAGCTCAAGCAGGCAAACAAAGAGGTTGAGGACTTGAAGCTCAAGAGGAATAATATCCGAGTC